ATAAACCGGTATGCCGATAGCGGGAGTTTGCACATTCGATTTCCACCAGAGACCTTTTTTTTTCGTAAGACTACTTTCGTTGATATGTTTTTTTTCAATTTTATACCATCATGTTCTTATGTATTTGAGCTTTTTTTTAAAAAATTTATATATATATATTCATTTCTTTAAGACAAGCTATCAATTCGTCATCATCAGGTTGTCTGATTAATTCCTGTCATTTAGTATTTTTAGCTCAGAGTTGTTGACAATTTAAAGATCCGCAATAGCATTTTACAAATTCCCAAAAGTGAAACAGCCTTGGACAATGCATTAGTAATAATTGTTTTCGTTCATAAAAAGAAAATGCCACCCTATAAGAATGTGCCAAACGTAGGTGAACAGATAATAACTAGGCCTAACCTTTTAACATAGACAGTTTGTGTAAGGTCACAAAACCATTACTTTAAATTCTTCCCTCTGTTTTTTTAATATCTAAATAAATGTTAGCTATGGTATCCTCATTAATTTGGTTATTTTAATCTGGAAACTAGTGACGAAAAATAATTTTACCCCCTTCCAGAAGGTTTGAGCCCATTAAAGGTAATTTAAGACATCTCTCAATCCACCAGTCTATTAGCCCATCAGTCTATCAACTTATAAGTCTATAAGTTTATTAATCCATCAGCCAATCAATCCATCAGTATATCGATCAATCAGTCTCAATTTATCAGTCTGTCGAACCATCTGTAACAATCTATCAGTATATCGATCCATCAGGCTACTAATGCATCATACTATTGATCCATCAGTCTATCAATACATCAGTCTATCGATTAGACTATCAATCCATTAGTCTATCGATTCATCAGTCTAGCAATCCATCAGTCTATCAATCCATCAATTAGTCTATCAATCCATCAGTCTATCAATCCATCAGTCTAGAAATCCATCAGTCTATCAATCCATCAGTCTAGCAATCCATCAGTCTAGCAATCCATCAGTCTATCAATCCATCAGTCTAGCGATCGATCAATATATCAATCCTTCAGTCTATCAATAGACCAGTCCGTCTATCGACCTATCACTTCATCAGTTTATCTCCCCGGCTCCATCAGTTTATCAATCCATCTGTCTATCAGTTTGTTAAACTGTTTTAAGCAATTTGATGCCAAAGTCAAGTCTGCTACTAGCAATTAGAAGTTTCAAAAAGTCCGGTTAACTTGAAGCAGTGTCAGAAATTTGAAATTTTCTGTCATTTTTTGGCCCAAATTAATGTTTAATTTCTATGTTATTAAACAGCAGTCCATATTTAACCCAATGTGAGACCAACCTCAGATCTATATGACCACCATCATGGAGATATGAAAATGAGAGGAGGATTCGAAGTCAAAGTTCAGAAATATGATCAAAACACCATCTAAACTTGTGATATTTTATCTATTATGTAATTTGATGGGGGATTTTCACGGGGATTTAGAAACAGTGGCTTAACCCTCTTGTGAACGACCTATAAAATCCTAAAGAAGTTGTAAGAGTTCAAACCAGCGTGAAATGAGGTGATAATCTATGTGACTAGTTCTTGGCTTAATAATAGCCTCCTCCCTCCAGACCCTTGCCCCCACTCGATTTTATTTATTTACGGTATTTATTTTAATATGGCTGCCGATTCTTCGATCGTGGATTTTACAATTTTGTTAAATTCCCACCAATTCGAGTTTAAATTCCTTGACACTAATTTGAAAGATCCGTAATCACATTGTACAAATCGCCAGATATGAAACACGTATACAATGCATTAGTAGCCTACTAATTGTTTTCATGCATTTAATAAAAATAGCTAAAAATATCTTCCTCAAATAAGAAAGAAAACTCATTTTCCCTTGGGGTTGGATATCATCATAACTCTAAAATCCCTCCTATACATTTGTTCCCTCAATATCATTTAAAGATCAGTGGTTATCAATACAGGGATTTCTTTACAGTAGCTATTGACTGATCGTAAAATGCGGATCTTTGAAGCTATTGTCAACTAATTTGACCACGAGAGTATGACAACGATAATCAATTAATTTTCTTGAACATACTATGACGAGTCTGTAGCTGCAATCATAAAATCATGTTTGTGAATACAAACATAAATTATTGTGTAGAAGTGAAAGTGGTTGGCTAGCTGGTTGTGGTTCGGATTCTTAACCCAACAAGTGGGAGGGTGTTTGAAAGCCTCACTGTGGAAGAGACAAAGACACTTTATCCACGTTTGTCTCTCCACCCAGGAGTATTAAGTGGATACCTGAGGAGGTTCAAAGTGCTGAGACTTAAGTGTGGAGCGCTATATGAAATACACATATCATTATTATATTAAAAGTAAACAAAAATATACAAAAAAAAAATTATTATTCGGCCTAAAAAATTGTTTGCCCTTTAATACTGAAAATTGTGTAGGAGGGGCGGGCGCAAAAAAGTTTTTTTTTTTTTTTTAACATATTAAATCGCAATGCATGCTTGCAATTAAGCATGTCGCACTATTTGTTTTTCACAGGGTGTTGATCAGACTGAATAACAATAACCATAATCAAATTTTTGCAATGAATTTAGACCTAAACGCCCCCGCCCCCCCTATTTTTCAGTGAGGTAGGGGCGTGCGCTGGAGGGAAAACAAACCATTTTTAGGCCTTATGTAAAGGTATGGAACTTTAGAAACTAGAGTGTTTATATATAGATACATATGATGTTTATAATTGATTATGGTTGGTAATGAGTTGGGTAGGGGGCGGAGGGATGTGATTGAATGATGAACGAATAGGCCCTCAGTGGCGTATCTAGGATTTTAAAAGTGCTGGAGGTGTTGCTGAATAGAAATAATTTGGCTACTAAAGCTGTACGCAAGGCGCAAAAGAGGGACGCAGAGCACATCGATGGCTATGACTATAAACTGGTTGTTAACGTCCAGAGTAACTTACCGGTACCATTTATTTCCATACATTTACTATTATTTTTACTACGTTTTAACAAAAAAAGGGTGCTTGTGCACCGTGAGTGTCCCCAGGTTACGCCACTGCTATATCCCTAAGTGCTTGGGCCCATAAACCACTAGTATTTGGGCCTAAATACTAGGCCTATCTGGACAGATGTTGCAAGTAGGCCTGCTGTACCATGGCTCAAAATAATGACCAAATAATCTACTTTTTATTTTAAATTGTGTGAACATTACAATATGTTGCAAAAGTGGTAGAACAATAAATTATTCAAGATTTCTTCATTATCAATGTCGTGAATTTGGATGCTTCTTCAATGAATGAAGTGCAAGATAATTAATTTAAAAACACAAATCAATATAAAGTACAGTATATAACAAAATTTATGAGTTGCCATGCGTTGAAATAATCAATAAAACGTGTTGTGCGTGATAAGGACTATAATATACGAATATCTTTTTATAAAATATGGTGGAGTATGGCATGTTTTGTTGAATTACACTTAACTCCCGCCTTTAAAATAAAAAAAATGGCATATTTTGTCAATTCTTTCACCGTTCTGATGCTTAAAGGCAGAATATGAAAAGACCTACCAGATACTAGAATCATGGGCGGATCTCTGTCTTTATGACAGATTGGTGGGACTTGGGGAATAGTGTTATAATGATAGTGATACGGGAAAGCGGTGCCACAATTTGGGTGATGGAGACATACAATCGAAGCGGGCCCATAGCTTGGATAGGGGATGCATGGAAAAAAAAAGTCCACTAAAAATAAACGAATTTGATTTGGTTTGGACGTTTTGAGTGGTTTCTCTATCATTTAGTATTTTAATATTTCGTGGTAGGCGAAACGATAAATTAGGTCATAGGAACGCAGTGAGTGTTCTGAAAGACCTTTCAAATGATTTTCATTTCAATACCTCCTGAGCAAACTGAGCATTATTATGTCTGTAGCAAGCGACAGCTTGGCGCCGTATGGCCACATGGGCCTCCGATTGAAGTCCAATGGGGGCACAAACAAGGGGGAAAATCATGTGTTCTGATAACAACAAATAAACTAAACTTGAAAGCGTTATCGGCAAAATGTAGTGTAGCAATTGGAAATATTGATTTGCATCGCACTGGAATTGTTGATTTAGTGGTACGATACTGCTACCAACAGCAGCGGGGGTAACGACAATAGCACACATTTCTTGATGCACTGTTACTGGAAATAAACTAGAAGAAACTACAGCGGTACACCATTGATTACGGTACCTCTGCTCTGTCCATAACACTGGAAAAGTTAACGAAACATTGTGTATATCCAAGTTTCTGAGAACATTGTCAATAGCATTCAATCATTTATTGCAGAGCCATCCTGTGCTATTATCTCCCAAAACAACACAGAAAATACCATAGACAAAAACAACATATTACGAGTACAGTGTACCTAAAAATATATGGGTCATTGGGATAGGCATTACTCCCGCTTACTCCCACTTAATCTATGCATCTTGGGGCATGGGACGTTATCTTACCAAAGGTCCCAGTGAGCAGCGTACTCACATATTTTTCAACAACAAATGACGATATTAAACTTCAA